TAGGATGCTAAGTTGTTTAATGAAGCAAACAACCCGGAATTATAGGGGTGGGAAAGGATGCTAAGCCATCTGGCAGTGGTGGGAGAGGCTAAAAGAGGACACAAGTAATGCAGGTTTGTCTCTGCTGAAATCTTTGCTGTACGGTGCTCGAGCTCTGAGTCTTAAAATCCTGCCTGAAGATGTGCAGGCGTGTGTAGATCTCCTGTTGTATGAACCTGGGGGTGAATCGTGACCCTCACTGATTTCGCATGGAAGGTGTGAAAGCTGGTTTGAAACCGTTCATTCCCACTTTGTGGCTGCTTTGTGTCACCCGAGCGCAGCAAACAGGACACCCAGTGGCGCCACTCAGTAACTCACAGCGGGAGGGAACCACCCTCTGATCCCGGCTGCTCCTGCTTTCCAGGCAACACCTGAGCCCAGCACCCAGAGCTCCTACGGGGGAGAGACCTCAGTCCTGGGGCACAGCTGCGCTGGGGGTCTCCAAAAGGGGAGCGTCCCATTTCTGTTAGGGCTCGAGCTCCCCCTTCTTCTCCTCTCTTCTCCTCGCTTTCCACCTGCCACTGCTTCATTTTCGCCCTTTGACCGCTATAAATCAGCAGGGTATCACTGACACTGGGAACGGGGTGGGAGCAGGAGGCAGCAGTGACCTCAGCTTTGCACACATTATACTTTTTAACTTACTGGCTTCCCAGTCTCCAGCAGCAGGAAGAGGTGACCCGGACACATTTCTTATTAACACAGAGCCAGAAGCAGTTTGTCCTACCCCACGTAAAGTTCAACCCCTTTGGATTTAGCGAGAACTCAAATGCCGGCTGACTCAGGGGCGTTTTGTAAAACCCCCCTTCCATGGAAAAGCCCCTGGTGCCAGCCAAGGCTTTGTGTGTGCAGGATTTGCCTCTCTCACCTCTGCCTAAGGCACCAAAGCCAGAGGGAGGCCGATGCTGGCTGATGGGCTGAGGGGTAGGTGCTGCTCTGACCCATTTTGTTTCCATTTTCTTGTCTGCAAGCCTGTGCCAGGGGCTTGGGGCTCTCACAATACACTATATTTCACCCTGCTTCCCAGAGAGAAGAAACGCAGTGGCTCTCTCCTCTTTAAACGTTCTAAGAGTGTATCCATAAATATGAGCTAATTCCAAGATATATAAATATATTTAAATAACATAAACATCTTTTAAACTTAAACATATTTCTTAAATGCGGGACCTAAATACACTTAAAGTATCTCATAACTGTGCAGCTCCTATACTACTGCGCCTTATCAAAGGGGAGACAAAGTTGAAAAATGTTATTGCTTGTAGTGTTTCCTGACCCGGGGAAGACTCTTCTCCCACTTTAAATGTCGTTGTCACCCAGGATTCACAGGGAAAACTGTCTCACATCAAGAAAATCAGCTGAAAAGAGCTGGTGCGATTTTCAGTGAGAAATTTCTTGTCACATGCACTTTGTGGAAAATCAAAACTCACATTTTCCTTTGTCAGCAAGAGGGGAAGGGTTGAAAATGAAAAATGTTCCATCAAAAGGGTCCAGGTTGGTGTTTCAGGCAAGCCTTCAAAACCTAGGAAGTTTTCAGTGAAAGGAAAATGTCTCAATTTTTTTTTATGCTTAAAAACCTTTTTTTCATCCGAAACAACCAATCTTTTCCAATTGTTTTTGTATATCAACTCTAAACACAAAGCTATTGTCCAGTGACAAAGCTATATAATATCTGCTTTTACTAGTGGCTTTTGCATGTGGCAAGTGGCGAATAAACAGCTTTGATAAAGAAATGGTGTTTCTTAGTAAAACCCCTCATACTGATACTCATGTATATTCATTTTCCTCATTATTTCAAATGAACGCAAACAAATCACCTCTGAGATTGTTTTGTAAATTCTCAAAGCTCAGCGATACAAGGTACAAGAAATTGGAACAAACACAAATTAAGATGCATGGAGGAATGTGAATATGTGTTGTTACATTATACAGTGTCATAGAAGTCCAAAGAAAAAGTGGAAGGGAAAAATGAAGACAAATTTGTCAATATGGGGATGGGAATGAAACCTTAATCTCATTACTAAATTCATCACACCTGTTGGCTTATTGCTAAGATTCATTGTCAGAAGAAATGAGCCTTCTTGCTATAAGCCCAGCCTTCCATGAAGCATTTAAATATGTAACAATATTAACTACACTCTTACACAGCTGGGTATGTGTGCTTTATCAGGGAAGGAAGAGCTCCACAGTTAATTTCAACTGTGCTAATAATTTTTTTACTATCTCTTAGTTTTTGAGGACATTAATTTTTAGGTGAGCTGTTACGTGATCCAGCTCTACTTGTATATCTGCAGAAAAAAAAAAGTTTTCTCAAAAAATATGCCCATTCTGCATATCCACAAGAATTTCACTCTAAGGGATCTCAAAATATGTCACCAGTTTCAGTCCTGATTCAGGCAAGTATCCCATCTGGGATCATAGAATCATCAAATTCTCTTCAGGATTCTATTCTATTCAGGATCCTTGCTGAGAACAGGCAGAAGGATGTGTTAAGGGGCTTCTAGAGTTCAGATGGACATGTCTAGGAAAAAATAGGATGTAAAATTGTAAAGATCAGGTATGAGTCAATCACCACAAAAGCATTCTGATGTTATAAACCAACAGAAGTAATAGACAAATTTAAAAAAAAAACAAAACCCAAGCCAATCAACTGTGTGTGAAAAAACTTGCGAGTGTAAACTGGCTTTTTTTTTTCTGTGTAAGGAGAAAAGTTTTCCATATTTCAGTAATTAGCAATGACGGGGAGGTGCATCACACGTGAGATCACATGAGTAAAAGTTGGATGCTCAGACTGCCCCAGGTGATTACCTATGACTTATGTGTCTAATTTTCAGGTGTTTAAATTATAGCCAATGGCTCTCTCCTGCCTGTTCAGAATTGCCAGCCCCAGTCGGGAATTCTGCCCCTTTGGAAATCTGCCCAGTGTTTCTGAAGGGCAAAGATTTATAACATGCAATTCAGATTTATGCTGTTCCATGACACTTGTCACGTGTGCCGCCGCAGCACAGCTATGGGCCATAAACAAATGTCTTCCTGGAGTCGCTGATGCCCCAGGAAGGATAGGGTGTCTTCCTGGAGTGGCCGAAGACCCAGGAAGGGTAGGGTGTCTTCCTGGAGTTGTCGATGCCCTGGGAAGGGTAGGGTGATGTCTTCCTGGAGCTGCTGATGCCCCAGGAAGGACAGGGTGTCTTACTGGCGTTGCTGATGACCCAGAAAGGGTGGGATGTCTTCCTGGTGTTGCCAATGCCCTGGGAAGGGTGGGATGTCTTCCTTGAGTTGCCAATGCCCTGGGAAGGGTAGGATGCTGCTGGCAGCAGCCGGGGGCACAGAAGTTGCTGTCTACCAAGCCTGTGCTCAGCGGTGACCAGTCTGGGCCACCACGCACCATGTTCCACCACGGTATGACACCTTGGTCACTTGTTTCCTAAAAACCCACAACGGCAGAAATGCTTTTTATCACAGCACCTGCCATGTTCAGGTACTTCAACCTGCGGGGCACTGTCTGGTCTAAAGGCTGCTAAGGGAGAGGTGGAAGGTGTGCCCCCTACAACCCCCCAGGAAAGCGATAGGACAAGAGGAAACAGCCCCAGGTTGTGCCAGGGGAGATTGAGATTGGATATTAGGAAAAATTTCTTCCCCGAAATGGTTGCCAACATGTGAACAGGCTGCCCAGGGCAGTGGTGGAACCGTCATCCCTGGAGGTATGTACAGGACGGGCAGACGTAGCGCTGAGGGACAGGGTTTAGTGGTGGTTTTGGCGGTGTTAGTTAGGTTGATGGTTGGGCTCGATGATCTTGAAGGCCCCTTCCGACATAGACGACTCTATGACTCCACGAAAGATGCGCCACCGCCTGCCGGATCCGGCCCTAAACCGTCGCCCTGTGCCCCCGCCGGACGGTGCTCCAGCGGGCAGAGAAACCCCGGCAGCGCCCCGGGCCCGGGCCGGTCCGCCCGCCGCCCCCATCACCTCAGCCTCGCGCCGGCCCGCGCGCTGCCTGCCGTGACGGGCCGGCCGGGCGGCGACGGGATTGGTTGTGCCCGGGGCCGGGCGGCGACAGGATTGGCTGTCCCCGGGCCGGGCGGCGGCGTGATTGGCTACCCCCTGTCCCCCCCCTCCGCGGGCCGGGCGGGGCGGGAGGCGCGCGGGGCAGAAGCGCGCACCCCCGGCCGGCAGCGCGTACCCGCGGCGCCCCGACGGCAGCAGCGCGGACGGGCCGGGACAGCGCGGCCGCCTCACCGGAGCCCGGCCTTTCTTCCGCCTTTTGCCTTTTTATTTAAATTTTTTTTAACATTTTTTTAAGGGAGAGGTGGAAGGTGTGCCCCCTACAACCCCCCAGGAAAGCGATAGGACAAGAGGAAACAGCCCCAGGTTGTGCCAGGGGAGATTGAGATTGGATATTAGGAAAAATTTCTTCCCCGAAATGGTTGCCAACATGTGAACAGGCTGCCCAGGGCAGTGGTGGAACCGTCATCCCTGGAGGTATGTACAGGACGGGCAGACGTAGCGCTGAGGGACAGGGTTTAGTGGTGGTTTTGGCGGTGTTAGTTAGGTTGATGGTTGGGCTCGATGATCTTGAAGGCCCCTTCCGACATAGACGACTCTATGACTCCACGAAAGATGCGCCACCGCCTGCCGGATCCGGCCCTAAACCGTCGCCCTGTGCCCCCGCCGGACGGTGCTCCAGCGGGCAGAGAAACCCCGGCAGCGCCCCGGGCCCGGGCCGGTCCGCCCGCCGCCCCCATCACCTCAGCCTCGCGCCGGCCCGCGCGCTGCCTGCCGTGACGGGCCGGCCGGGCGGCGACGGGATTGGTTGTGCCCGGGGCCGGGCGGCGACAGGATTGGCTGTCCCCGGGCCGGGCGGCGGCGTGATTGGCTACCCCCTGTCCCCCCCCTCCGCGGGCCGGGCGGGGCGGGAGGCGCGCGGGGCAGAAGCGCGCACCCCCGGCCGGCAGCGCGTACCCGCGGCGCCCCGACGGCAGCAGCGCGGACGGGCCGGGACAGCGCGGCCGCCTCACCGGAGCCCGGCCTTTCTTCCGCCTTTTGCCTTTTTATTTAAATTTTTTTTAACATTTTTTTTGCCTTTTTTTCTCCTTTTTTTTTTTTTTTCCCCACCCTCGCAGGGTTGGAAGCGGGACCCGCGCCCCCCCTGACCCTGCTATGCCCACCGAACTCTCCCGGGCCGTGGGAATGCACGCCATCTCCGACCTCCACTCCTCCCTCGGCCCGCGGCTCCGCAGCAAGGGGCCCGAGTACCTCCGGCGGCAGCTGGAGGCCCGCAGCCCCGGGCGGAGGAGCGCGGTGGAGAGGCTGGCGGCCGACAAGGCCAAGTACGTGAAAAGCCAGCAGGTGATCGGCAGCCGGCAGGAGCCCGCCATCCTGCTGAGCTCGGCCTCGGAGAGCAGCGGGGAGACCTGCTCGGTGGAGAGCAGGCGGAGCAGCCGGGACCCGGGCGGAGGGAAGCCCCCGGAGCTGGCCGTGTACGCCTGCCGGGCCCCCCTGCAGCACGGCCCCCCCATAGCCCGGCGCGGCACCCCCAGGAGGCAGATGCGGCCGGACTCCCTGGTGATTTACCGCCAGAAATGCGAGTTTGGGAGAGGTCAGAGCCAGGACAGCTCACGGGGGAGCTTGGTGAGGAGGATCTTCCAAGGGTCTGTGAAGGAGAAGCAGCTGGTGGCTGCCCCTGCGATGCCCAGAGTCATGGAGGACACCGCAGCCACCGACGGCAAGGAGCCGCTCTCAGCAAAACACTGTGACCCTGAGCCCAGCAGCCGTCGAGTGGAGCAACATGTCCCTGTGAGCGGCGAAGCCCCGGGGGTATGTGCAAAAGAGCATGAGAGACCCTCCAAACTGAGCACACCTCCTGAGGAGGTCAAGGAGGTGAAGAGGAGAGGTCTCCATCGCTCCCAGTCGGACATCAGCTCTCGCTACTCCAAGTCCTTCTCCGAGTTCGATACGTTTTTCAAGTACTGTGGCCTGGAGCAGGAGGTCATTGAGGATCTCGGGAGAGAGAACTTCTCCGTGGTGTCCGACAACGTCTCCTTCAAGGTCCGCAGCATCAGTGTGGCGACGTCCGAGAGCGACTTCGCGCGGCACAGCGGGGACGAGGGGCTGCTGGAGGATGAACTCACAGAGCAGGTCCCCAGCAGCACCTCCGTGATCGAGCGCAACGCTCGGATAATCAAATGGCTGTACACCTGTAAGAAAGCCAAGGAGACCAACAAGATGATCCAGGAACTGGCATGATGGCTTCTTTCAGCCTGCGTTGCAGCCGGGTGAACCCCAGGTGTGTGCAAAGCCTCACCCTGTCGATTTTATGTATTTCTCTTTCCTCTTTAGCGAGCAGTTGACTCTTCTTAGTTTATTTTAGTCTTTTTGTGAAGAGCAGAAGGAAAGCGTGTTTTGTATACTACATGTTCCAGTATGGCAAAGCAGAAACCCGGGTGGTTACAAAAAACAAAATACAAACAAATAAATGCGTAAAGCTTGCCAGATTTAGATCAGACCCCCCACGTGAAATTAAAGAGTCACTGCCTGTGAGGGATGTGCAGATTATTGCTTTGTAAATAGCTTGGTTTCTCTCATTTCTGCTATATTACATGCTAGAAAAAAAAAAAACTTAGAAAAGTATTCAACCCTTAATTACAGTTGCTTAGATAACAGAGTGAACTGAAACTATTACTAATTAAGAGTACACTGTATTTACACTATGCTGCGACGGCTTCCCCTCCCTTACTGTCCCTCAGCCTCTCACCATTCACCTTTTGCTTATACCTAGGCACCCCCAAGCATCAGGAAAGCAAAACTGAGTCAATCCTTCTGCTTAGCAATCTTGTTTCCATCCCCAGCTTTCTGTCCAGTCCATAAAACTTTGCTCCAGGTGATCCCCTAGCATTTCACAGGCTTTAACTTTTCTGTCCTGTTTGACTGTAGTGGATTTGGCCCCTCTCAAGTGGGTTTTTCCGTGCAGTTTGGCACCGGTAGCTGGAAATGGGTTGTGCGCTTTGCCTCAGTTAGAGGGGCACTTCACTGTTTTCAACTAAAGGTAATTAATACAAATGTGTGGCATCTAGGCTTGGAAATCAATTACTTCACAGACAGAAGCAGAACAAATTTAGCCCTAGTGAAAGCCAATATCCTTGTTTTAATAAAACCTGTATTTATTTTGCATCTGATCTGAAAAGAACTATATTCGTGGGGCCTTTGGTACTGATGATCTGGTAGATAACAGTTTTTTCTCCTTGCAGTACCTGAAGCCCTTAGGATAAGTACTGCAGCGTACAGCGTGGTATTTAAAAATTGCATGAGCGGATCTTGGTATGGAGGATTACGTGTATATTTTCTGACAGTTCGTAATCGGTGCGTGAGAAGAACATCGTATAGTGTAGATGCAGCTGTTGATAGAGAGTGTGGGCCTTGTGAACGTGGAGAAATGTAGTGTTTGAGCCTCTTTCCTACCTAGATGTGGGGCTGTCATTCCTGATTTTTTAAATCTATATAATGCAAAAATCCATTCACTAACTTGAATTTGATTTTAAATATGAGAAATTTGGATCATTTTTTAAATTTGGATTTTTCTCAAAGGCTTGTTTTCTTCCTGCAAGTTGAGGAAGAAGGAAGGGAGAGAGAACCATTTTCACACAAACTTTTCAAGCCCTTGTAGATAAGGTGGCTTGTCAGGTATCCAGCTGACAACTTAAAGAAGTGTTGTTATGTGACAGATCCTTTCCCAAATTACCGGAGGAAGAAGAAAGGGCTCTCTTGAGCTAATAATTTCTCCTTGCTCATCCTTCTGTGATAAAAGGCAAGGGAGATACACAAAACCAAAATTATGCAGGTGGTGGTTTCTGAGGCTCATTGCAGCTGCTGGCCTAGTGCAGAGGATGGGAGACAGATTTCACCACAAGCAGGAGCCACGAAAACAGAAGCAATCCCATTCCATGAAGAAAAACAAAATAAAATCTTGCTTGCACCTGAATGCCCTTGCTGGGGGTAGGGTCCCGGACCTGAACCATGGTGGTCACCGCTGAGCCTGCTCAGGAGGAGCAGTTGGCCCTTTCCCCATCCATTTGCAGGGTGCTAAGAGTGTCCAGTGCCAGAGCTGGGACAGGAGATGCTGATGACCACCCCAGGGAGCATGCAGTCTACGGAGGCGAAGGGCAGGAGGTGCTTCGTCAGGGCAAAGGCAAGGGCAGGAGGGGAGAAGCTCTTTTTCAGGGGGTGAGCCGGTGTAACCCCAGGTGGGCTTGGTCAATGCCTTTTATTTTTTATCATCTGAGACAAAATGACAGTTCGTGATACATAGTCTTAACAGGATGGGGAAAAGACCTCCGTGAAGCAAATAGGAAGTTTAATCAAGTATATGGTCATTTTGCAATCATTTTAATACCTAGAACAAGGGAATGCTTTACACTGGCAGCAATTTCCTTTGGCCACAAAATTTTTGGCAGCTTAGGAAACACTAATCCATAGGGTCCATGTTATAAACCTAATTTTAAGCATGCTAGGGCTGACTCTCAGCTGTTTGACCTCAGCAGTGGGGCTATGATTGCTTCCAGAATCACTTCTGAAAACTGAGGATGTACTTACCATTTAGACCACGGAAAGAGAAAGTTCAGAAAGGTCAGCTAAACATACCAGTACACAGCACCCAGAATAAAGGACAAGAGTCATCAAGAACTGCCATAAGTTAAATATTATGTTTACCTGGCAGAATTGTGAGAGTGGTTATTATCACATGATCACAAGATGAGTCCTGTAGTTCTGGTATTGGTGTTTCCTTAGACCCAAATGTTCATCTTTTCTTTCAATCCCATGCTTTTTTTGACAATGCAGCATCAAGTTAGATATCTAATTTTTTTCACTGTATCCATGTATTTGGCTCTGTTTAGTTTGCTTACTGGTTCTTAATGGGCAATGTACTCCTGAGCTACACAGGGGAGTGATGTGCTCTCCCTGGCACTCCCAGGCACATCCTTGAAGGCTCCTTATTTTACACAGAGGCTTGAAAATCGTTGCACCTTCTCTGGAAGAAGAGGCAGAAACCTGTTTTCTAAAGTCTAGCGTTCATTATGACTAAAACACCTTTCAAGAACTGCAGGGCTTTTATGGGCTGGTGATAATCCCATTCATATTTTATGTTCTCCTTTTAATTTTTCATGAGCTCTCTGTGACCTGGTGGGGCACTACATGAATAAAACAGCTATTTGAAGGATCAGGTTCCCTGACATATTTCATCAGAGTGATGATTGCAGAGCCCAAGCGTGGGCTGTGAGGTTTAGAAAACCAAAGTCCTCAGCAAGATGTGCATTGCTGCTTCTCGGTGGGATGTTGCCTGGATTCACCTCCGCAGCTCAGCTCCTCTCTCTGTCAGTCCTGCTTGACTCTAAGAAGGGGGCTCACTCTGTTCTCCTTCCTGGATTGAATCAAGGTTATTCAGCCTTCAGTTTCAGCACCATTCTTAAATTCGTTATTCAAGTGGAAATCTCTGGGGAGGGGAATTTACTATGTTGGCAGTAGCCATAAGTAGCTGAATAAAAGCTTTAGAATATCACCTGATGCTTGTCTGATGAGATAAACAACAAGTGACACTTTTTTTTTGCTCTTTCTTCAGAATCCTTGACTTGGAAGTTGAACAAAACCAGACACAGGAAGAAACTCTTCCCTCACCTGGCTCATGACTATTTTATCCAAGTTTAGTATTTTATCATTGCCTCCTACCCTCGCCCCTGTCCCCTGGCAGCCTCACTGTGGTCACAAGCGCAGGGGTGTCCAAGAGCGTGCTGACAAGCGGAGATTGTGAACTGTGCTCCAAACTACAACACCCAGCGAGGCAGCGGGCAAAAAAAGCTCCTGGAAAAGCAAAGCGTGACAGCAGCTGCCATCCATGATAACATTCAGCATCAGCTCATGCCCCAGGACGCCATTCCAGGCTGTGACAGCAGGTCTGTGTTGTGCACCCACCTCTTCCCAGCGAGAAAGTGGGAATGAAATGGCAATGATCTCTGGGTCAGGCATTTCCGTGCAGACAGACAGGCTCCACCCGGACGTTCAAAGGCTCTGTCTTACCAGGGCTGTTTGACCAGGGCTCATCTTGACATCATTAGATGCTATTTGCTTGGCTGGTGAGAGGACTAACTGTGGCAGCTTTATCTGGGATACTTGGCAAACATGTTGGAAGCTAAATCCCTGCCAAGCCTCTCTTTCTCTGAGAGCATTCAAGCCAAATTGGAGTACCTTGTATCCGTCTAGTTTGCTCTGTCACACAGCTTGCTTAGCTGGTAGGGAGGAATAGCCTTTAAAATGCTGCCCAAAATATGTTCAGGAGCATGGTTCTAAGAAACAAGCAGTCAAAAATGGGGGAAGGTTTGGCATTGCTACTGCCTCGCTGCGGAACGGTACCATTCACAATTCACATGTGCATAGGCTCCTCCTCTTGGTTTGCAATATGTCTCCAACTCTGACATTCCAAATGTTGCAGGGTTTGGCAGCTTGGGGTTTAACACCTTTAATTTTATGCAGTGTGAGCAAGCAGTGGGCTGACAGATTCACGTTAGGCAAGGGTGCGAGGCCACCCTTCCCCAGTGTGGGTCTGGAATAGGGGCTGTGCTTGGGATGTGCGGAACAGCATCCCTGCACTGCAAGGGAAGACAGCTTGTTAGGGCACAGCCACGCCAGGAAAACGTCCTGATGGGATGGGACGCCCAGTATCTTACTCAATATCATCATTAAAATGCTTTATTTGGACTAGCCAAGCTAAACCTGTTTTAAAAGCTGATAAAAAGTACTTTAGATGATGAGTGTAGTGAATGGGGCCTCTCCAACAACTCATGGAATTTGCTGGCTGTGCCTCTAACACTTGTCCCAATCTGTCATTGCTTGCTAGAAAATGTCCTGCACCAAAGCATTTACTTGTGGACATTGCAAACCACAAAAAAAATATGCAAGAAACCCCCCCATCAAAGCCAAAGCCAGTTCCCCCATCAGTGGCACCAATGCCCATCTGCGAGAGCTGCCCCACTGGCGTGACGGTGACTCGGGTCGAGGGTCCTGCAGAAGTGAAGAGTTAACTTCGTGTTACCATGGATGTGGTGTCGGGCTTACCTGGCCCACGGCGTGAAGAGTCCAGAAACACCCACCTCACGTTCTCCACGTTCCTCTTGACCGCACCGTGGCAGCGAGCCCCCCCTGCTTCTCCCGGCCGGGTGCTGGCAGAGCTCAAGCGAGCACTTGAGCAGCAAGGATTCAGTAAAACATCGGTGGTAGGAGGAACGGTTTCCTGTTTTAACCTCTACAAGTGTTGTATGCAGAAAGAGCTGCCCTTGAAGCGCTCATGAAGAGGTTTAGTTGACATCAGTTAAATTCACCGCAAGATGCTCCGGGTGGCATTTCCATACGTTTTAAACATGCTTGTCAGTTCCTGGAAGGTTAGTTCTCAATTGCAGCAGCAGTTTGAGAATGCAAGGCATTTGTCTTCGTTTTCTAGTGTTATGTGCTAAGGTCTACATGTCTGAAGTTGTTGAGACAGATCGATAACAATTCCAGGTAAAATAATTGTTGAACACGCTTTACACTTAGGAGAAAACTAAATAGTTTGCATGAGTGAGCTTCTGCTGGCTCAGAGGGAAGCTAGTACATAGGATTGTTTTCATAAAATAATGAAATTTCCATGTGTATTTGTTACATTATTATTAAGGGATGATTTTCAGAAAACTCCAGCTCAAGATGCTGCTAATAGGATAAGATTTAGGCACTTAAGGTGCAGGTTTTTAAGTCTAGGTTTATTAGTCAGGAACACAACCTGTCATATCTGTTCTTTTCATGCTCACTTTGCAAGGTGCTGTACCACATAAATATTTATATGCATTTGTCAGAGCTAAGGGCTGCTTTTCTTTGCAAATATGGATGACTGTAGACAGCTTGGAGTGCAGGAAAAATCTTTTGCATTCCGGTCCATGCCTCACCACAGGAGAATTATTTTGTTGTGTGTCCAAGGAAATTTTTGGTTTCATTTTCAAACTTCTGTTTATTTTCGCTTTTTTAGTTGAGCAACTCTTGAAAGTTAAGATGAAAGATGCTTTGGTCATGAGTTTTCAATGTTAGGAAGAAATACATTTAATTTGTTTGCAAGTGCTGAACATTAGCCTTTCTCAAAATCGATATGGCAGAGTTTAGTGAAATCAGAACTGGCCACATTCTGAGTATTTTTTTAATCCCCCTTTTTTATCTTTATGAACAGTTTAATAGAGTTGTGGTGACTTTCTACATGGATATGTGGCAATGTATCCCTGGCTTTGTTCAAACTCTGATAGGAACCCCAACCTCTTCGAGGTGTCGTTTACTTCAGAGACAATGTGGACCTGTCTAAGATCTTCTTCCTCTGATAAGCCATAGATTCCCTTTATTTCATAATACATCCTGTGTAAGCTAATAACCTACCCTTCCCAGTATGCAGGAATGACAGAAGATGACAATCCTCCTTTTTCCATACATCTTGGGAATGGGTCATTTGGTGCTTTTTCTGAAGACTGGGAGCTTGGGCTTCACTCAGCTCCTGCTACTGTTACATGCAAAGGCTCGTCCTTCCTTCTGCTGGGTCTTTCTCTCATAACCCTCAAGATGAGAAAAACTTGCCAATGGTAGTTACTGCCTGTCTTTTTCAAAGAAAAACCTGAAGTTTTTTTTTTACTGTTTCATTTTAAAATGAAATCTCATTATAAAATGAAATAGTATGCTTTGGAAGAGGTGGGGTTTTTCAGCTTTAGTGATAAATTGAGGGACCACTGCGGTACGAACAGAAGTTTTAGCAACAGAGTTGGGTTTCCAGTCTTTTGGGAAACCTAAAACTGGGGCTGAGGGCAAAGGCAAGTCGTAAATTGAACGATTTTGTTTGACCAGAACTGTGTAAACTAAAATAGTCAAATGGGGTGCAAGCGTGCAGTGCTAACTGCTGTTTACACCCAAGTGTTCCCAGGTGCTCCAACGCTGCGACAAGGGGCAATGTCCGCAGCTGGAGTCTAACAGGTGAAAGGTACAAAGTCTGGGTTTTATGGCCTTCAAGCAAGTATTTGCAATAAAGGCATCAGATAGGGACTGTAACCCTTGCAATATATTGTAAATACTACTGTACAGACATCTATAAGTAAGAAATACAGATTGCTCTATAATACATATATTACTTTTCTAAGGGATATAGGCCTTCGTGTTTTGTGAAATTGGCCAAACGTTAAATCGATTGGGATTAGCAGAAACTTTCTCCTGGGGGCAGGTTATCCTGTCGTTACCTCCTGTGAAGTTTCTTCTATCTGCTTTTGAATCCTTTGAAGTGGAGCACTGGTCAGATTAGGTATGGATGTTTCTAAGTCACTATGTTTATATTCCTGTGAAAAAACTTGTATACTGTTGAATGCATACAAATAAAAATACCACTCTGAAAGTTGTTGATTTTTTTGAAAAGTATACTTTTATTTTGCTCTCTCCATTAAGGTAGGGTGCTATTACTTTAAAGCTCGAATCCCATCAGGGAATTGATTTCTCTGTGAGTGAGTCTGTGAAGATCTGAAAGCACGATGCTTCCCTGGGCCGTACCCAGCCCCGTGGCTGAGAGCTTAGGCAGGGAATCTTGTAAGAGATGGCATTCGAGATAACTGTTAGCTCTCAGTATCAGTAAATTTGAAATATATGAGGCTGGGGCTGTTCCACAGTATTTTAATATTTTTCATTTCAGAATATGGCTGAAAAGATAGACAGTTTATTTCTGAAGGGGAGTATTTTTTTCCAGGCTTCAGCATTGTACTTGGTTTTACTCGCTGTCGAAAGCTGCAGTGTGCTGCAGACAACACCACATCCATCACAGCCAGTGTCCAAAGCGGGAGGGAGTTAGAAGTTCTGCTTGGAAAAAAAACCCACGTTATCTCCAGAATCTTATTAAAAAAGTGTTGTTTGCCTGGATTCCATAAGAAGATTTCAATATATGATGCTAATTCCCTGTGTGTGTATTTTGTGAAGAAAGCAGCAGAAATAATGGTTGCATGCAGTGAGCTTTTACCGGAGAGAAAATGCACTCCGGTTGCCTAATTATCATTTTGCAATGGTCTAACCTGCTCAGACACAAGTGTTTCACTGGCCAGCGTTGGAACCCAACTGTAGGTAGAGCTAATGGCTCCTTGCTGTGCAGATCAGGCTCTTCCATAAAAACCCAAGAGCTACTTTATCATCATTGACACATACCCTTCCCCACACAGGCCCTGGTTGACCTGTGTCAAAGATACAAAGAAAGTCTGGGGAGGGGTGACAATTTGTGCATCCCCCTTTCTGTGGAGGTTAATCTCCCATAGCAAGCCGTTGCTGCCCTAGAGAGGAAGGAGCCATCATAGCCTGTGAATACCCTGGGGCTACAGCCCAGCTGAGCATTGAAGAATGTTGTCCTTAAGTCATTTTTTTCACATAGCACCTTTGTCCCATGCGTTGTAAAATCCAGTGGATTTATTCCAGAAATAAAGATTTGCAAGCTCCTGTTCTTGGACTGTCTGGTGCAAGCGACCTCCTAAAGTCCACAGCTTACTGGTTCACTGCTTTTTTGATTCATCTCTGGGTAGCATACCTTTACTCCACAAAGATATAGTAACTAGAAGAAGGCCTTTTTGGGTGTTTTGTAGATGTTGGTGCATTCTGAACACAGAACTGCAAAGGTATGCAATATCTCTAGGGGCTTTTGACAAAGAATGGTCTATGTCGACAGCAGGCAAATAATCAAATACAGGGCTTAGCTTTACCCTGAAAAGATGCCTCCAAATTTTGGGGATGTTTAATGATTGGGCCATATTTATCCTAGATTTGTCTTGCTGAACTGAAGGGGACTATATCAATTCACTTAAGTGGAACGTTGCAAAATGGGCGTAGAAAGGACCACTCGGCTCATTTGCAAGCAATGATGTAAAAGGCAGTTTAGTCTGGGGAGATGTCCATGACAGGTGTTGGGAATTTTGATCGTTTGTGCTTACCAATAAGACTGGTGATGTGCCAGAAAAACAAACACTGCTCATCAGGTGGTGATTAACACGAGGCAGCGTGCGGAACTAACCAGAGCCAAGAGTTAGACTCACACACAAAGCATGCGAAGGGGAGGGAACGTTGCTCTTACTCCTTCCTGTCAGCCCAGCCTCTTCTTACCTCACTGTGAGTAGGAAGTGAACCACTTCCACAGTTACTCATCGGTTCGAATTGCTCATCTTGTGCCCTCTCTGACAGTCCCTTTCTGTGTTTACATTTCTAATAAACTCATCCATGTGCCAATCATGTTACAGAAGGCCCTATTCTATCCTCATCCTCCTACAGTCTGGTTTTTTTCTGAGTAATGTTTCCAGTTAGGTTTTACATCCTTCTGATCAACCTTTATCTGTTGCTACCCCAAGGAAGCTGAAAGCTAAACATGTAGCCAAGAAATGAATGAGTTGCATAGTTAAGGAGAGGCTTGCTAGATTAGACACCAATCCATGTACGTAGATAGCTCTTCCTGCACAACTAGATATGAGGAAGAATTTTTTTATGATGAGGGTGGTGAAACACTGTTAGAGGTTGCCCAGAGAGGTGGTAGATGCCCCATCCCTGGAAGCATTGAAGGTCAGGTTGGACGGGGCTCTGAGCAACCTGCTCTAGTCTTAGCTGTCCCTGCTCATTGCAGGGGGGTTGGACTAGATGACCTGTAAAGGTCCATTTCAACCCAAACCATCCTACGCTTCTATGAAGTTAGTATATTACTGTCATTGTTTGCCTCTTCGATACCGCTTTGTAACATCATCCTTGGCTTGATTTTATCTCTTCTAGATGATAAGTTTCTCAGAGCTGTGGTATGACACTTTTATTTGTCTGCAAAGAGCTTTAAGTACAGCTATTGCAAAATCAAATGCCAAATCACAAATCTTTTTGACGTGAAATATAGTCTAAACCTTCTAGGAACATCAGGTGAGTCAAAGCAAACTGGGTAAGCTCTGCAGGAAGAGGACTGAAAAAAGAGATGCCCCTGAAGCAGTTCTGTGTCTGACCCAGCACAGCAAGGTATCCCTTGAACTTGTTGGAATGATGCAGCTCACCCCTCATTTCTTGAGGACCAGCCTTCACTCAACATTTATTTTCTGCAAGAAAGTAAATTTAAAAAGCAGTTTATCACACACAAAAGTCAAGCAACATCAAATGGTGATGTAGGCTATCACACTCAACTGCAAACACAAGCGGAGGTGACTCTCCAGGCATTTACTGGGTGTAAGAAGAGCTCCCCCAGAGTTGCCTCCATCTGCTGTGGTGGCAGCGAGGTCTTTATTCTTTCTCCCTGTTATAGAAAAAGATTCAATTTCATGATATCAATTACAATAGTGGCTGAAAATTGTGTAATTTCTGAGAATAGGTATTCAACGTAGCCTTCCTAAACAAACTAACAGCCTGGAGACTCCAATTTTCTTGAATTTTCAGTTATTTAGAATCATAGAATCATAGAATCATAGAATCATAGAATCATTGAGGTTGGAAGAGACCCTTGGGATCATCGAGTCCAACCATCTACCCTACTCTACAAAGTCCTCCCCTACACCATATCCCTCAGTACCGCATCTAAACGTCCCTTAAACACATCCAGGGATGGTGACTCAACCACCTCCCTGGGCAGCCTATTCCAATGCCCGACCACTCTCTCTGTGAAGAATTCCTTCCTAATGTTCAATCTAAACCTACCCTGTTGGAGCTTGAAGCCGTTCCCTCTCGTTCTATTGTTAATTACCTGTGAGAAGAGACCAGCCCCAACCTTTCTACAGTGTCCTTTCAAGTAGTTGTAGAGAGTGATGAGGTCTCCCCTCAGCCTCCTCTTCCTCATACTGAACAGCCCCAGATTTAGATGATTTAGATCATAAAACTTTACTATCCTACTGTTGCAGGGAGAAGGACCATCTCATTCCTCCAAAACATGAGACATTAATAGATCATCCTATATTGCTGAAAAAACATAAAGGAAATAAAGTGATAGGCTGGTAAGAGGACTTCTCTGCTAACTGATACAAAGTCTCTTCATGCACAGTCCATCATGATGGTTTTCTACCAGGCCCACTTTGTCTAAAATCCTCACTTACAGCTACCTGTGCCTTGTCTCAAACTATCATAAATAAAGTCTCCTGATGTTCAAAAATTTACAGAATCAATCAGTGTGGTTGGTATTATGTTAGCGTCTCATGTTACTTGAGGACAGAGGCCAATATTAGCAACAGTCCTCATACATAAAACATTTGTACAAATACTGGACTACATAAAAACCTAACTCTGCTGGTTAATCCACAGTGTATAAGGAAATCTGGCAGATTTCTTATGGAAAAAAATCAGTTTGGTGCAATAAAAAATTGTGTCCTGCAAAATTAAAGGAAAGAAGGAAAACCAATTTGGGGTGGAATGTTTGGTTCTCACAGTCACATAATTTGATGTATTTTCTGTCTGTCTTTTGTCATGTGCATAACATGTAAATCCCACACACTGAATACTTACCCGTAGATTCAGATAAACCAAACATGGAAAAGGGTTTCCTGAGTCAGCAGCCCACTTTCTTCAGAGTGCCTTAAGAAATGCATTTACAGTTTATCTAATGGTTTAGAAGGGCTGGAGAGATTTGGGATAGTAAATGGAAAAAAGGATGATTCCTCCTGGAATATAACTCAGATTCTGCCTGCAATGGGGCAACATATATATCTCTTCAAGGTATATAGGTATATCTAGGTATATCTCATTTCAAATAAAACCTTTTCAGAGTTCTATAAACCAAGTTATGATCTGGATCAAAAACATCCAAACATTTAGGACTGTTCAGGTATTGAATCTGGACAAGAAACAGAAGGACATCAGTTTTCCACTTTATATTTTGCCTCAAGCCTTCATCCAAGTTCATGGTTCAGTGGAGGAGGCAGGAGTGCCGTGAGGAACTTGGAGTATGTAGTGTGTCTGGTCATGGGTAAGTGCTGAGTTTTGTTGTAGGTGTGTGGTATGTAGCTTGATAAGGTCCTAGGCATGACTGCAAAACATAAACATTGCCCAGTACAAGTATTACCATTGTTAAGAACCCCATGATGTTCGTTTCCTGCAGCCTTCACAGCCTCCCCTAGTGCTTCTGTTTGTTGTGACTAACCTCAGAGACACAGCTGGAGACAAACTGAGTGTCTGGAGAGTCAGGATTACACAGAATCAAAGAATCACAGAATGATTTGGGGTTGGAAGGGACCTCTGGAGATCGTCTAGTCCAACCCCCCTGCCAAAGCAGGTCCTTCTAGAGCAGGTTGCACAGGAATGTGTCCAGGTGGGCTTTGAATGTCTCCAGAGACAGAGACTCCACCACCTCTCTGGGCAGCCTGATCCCGTGCTCTGCCACCCGAAAAGTAAGGAAGTTCCTCCTCATGTTTAGGTGGAACTTCTTA